AAAAAAAAAAAAAAAAAAAAGGCTAAAGAAGGGAACATTCCTTAGCAGACATTAAGGCCATCATAATTTTTTAAAACTCTATTGATGCACTGGGAGTGGTGGTACACACCTGTAATCCCAGCACTTTGGAAGGCCAAGGTGGGCGAATCACTGAGGTCAGGAATTCAAGACCAGCCTGGCCAACATGGTGAAACCCTGTCTCTACTAAAAATACAAAAATTAGCTGGGCATCGTGGCCAGCACCTGTAATCCCAGCTACTTGGGAGGCTGAGACAGGTGAATTGCTTGAACTTGGGAGGTAGAGGTTGCAGCAAGCCAAGATCGTGCCACTGCATTCCAGCCTGGGAGACAGAGTGAGACTCTGTCTCAAAAAAATAATTAATTAATTAATTAATTAAATAACCTCTTTTCTTATAAATTGCCCAGTTTCAGATATTTATTTATAGCAGTGTGAGAAGAGACTAATACACACACCCTCATGCACACGCACATATGTCCAGCAGGTGATCACTTTCACACTAGCTCTGTGGTCTGACTACACTGGTCCCCTTCATCACCTTCACTGTGGTCCGCTGTGTCTTGCCTGGGTGCCCATAGCAGCCTCTTCCTTGGCCTCCCTGCCTCCAGTCCAGCCTCCCCACACCAACCAGAACAACTCTCCTCAAAATGAGGTATGGCCTGACACAATGGCTTATGCCTGTAATCCCAGCACTTTGGGAGGCTAAGGTAGGCAGATCACCTGAGCTCGGGAGTTCGAGACCAGCCTGACCGACATGGTGAATCCCCGTCTCTACTAAAAGTACAAAAACATTAACCAGCCATGGTGGCAGCCACCTGTAATTGCAGCTATTCAGGAGGCTGAGGCACGAGAACCGCTTGAACACGGGAGACAGAGTTTATAGTGAACTGAGATTTGCCACTGCGCTCCAGCCTGGGTGACAAAGCAAGACTCTATCTCCAGAAAGAAAATCAGTGAGGTAGAGTATAGACTGACCACATCACCCTGCTGAAAACTCCCTTTAGTGGTGGTGAGTTGGCAGAGGCTGGACCAAACACACAGTGAGGAAAGCCACGATCTCATGGACATAAATAGATTTTATCGACATACAACAGACTGACTGCGCACATTATAAGGCACTTTGTATTTTTCACTTGCTACATCTTGAAGATTGTTCCAAATTTGTACATATGTCCTACCTCCTTCTTTTTGTTGGAGGTGTAATACTCCACTGTGTGAATGCAAATCACTTTCTTTTTACTTTTTTCCCAAGGTCCAGCTTTGACTTTATGTGAATGCAAGTCCCTAAGAACCTTTTCAAGCAGTGTCACCAAAGCATAATTACATACAATAAGTGTGCCAATTTTGAGTGAACAGTTAGATGAGTTTGGAAAATGTATACACCCATATGATACTCTTATTGTTACTATAACATCCAGTGCCCAGCCCAGCACCTGCTGCAGAGTAGGCATGAAGTTCAATGTCTATTGAATGAATAAATGAATTGGGGGAGAAAGGAGTGAATATGGGCAGCTTCAGGGGCTCGTGTGTGAGTTACATGTATGGATCGAGCTGCTGAATTTTACTTGCTCTGGTGTGTCAAATCCCTGAGCTGCACCTCAAGGTGGTGTCTAGGAGCTAACAACTTAACCCTCTGCCCAATTACAACAGAAAAACCAGTGATAGAGGGTAGTATGGGCTGGGTGCAGTGGTTCACACCTGTAATCCCAGTGCTTTGGGAGGCTGAGGTGGGCAGATCACTGGAGCCCAGGAGTCCAAGATCAGCCTGGGCAACACGGCAAGACCCTGCCTCTACCAAAAAAAAAAAATACAAAAATTAGCCAGGTGTTGTGGTGCACACCTGTAGTCCTAGCTACTCGGGAGGCTGAGGCAGGAGGATTGCTTGAACCTGGGAGGTAGAGGTTGCAGTGACCCACGATGGTGTGGCTGCACTCCAGTCTGGGCAACAGAGCAGGACCCTATCCAAAAAAAAGGGGGGCTAATATGGCTGATCATTGTTTTATTCTTATAACTTTTCTGCAGAGAACTAATTTTTCCCAAAACAAAAAAACATTAAGGGGAAATTTGGGTGGCTATTTCTTGGATCTGCCTGCCTTTAGGAGGATGTGCAGCCCTGAGGCCAGCACTTTCAGATCCTGACCCAAGCCCTTCCCGATTTTCAACAGCACCTTTTCCGTGAGCACCTTGGTTGCCCAGCCCACAATAGCACCACACCTGTCGTCAGGTAGCCACTCAATAAATATTTGTTCAATGAATAAACGAATGAGTCATGAGTAAATGAATGAATGAGTAAATGAATCAGGAGGACTGGGGGGTTTGGGTCATAACACCAAAAGACATAATCCTAAATGCTGTAATTCCCAATGTTGAAATCAAAAAAAGAATAACATCCCTACAGTCTAAAATCCCAAAAATCATGAAACTAAAAGATCAAAACCTCAAAAATAGAATTCTGGAAAAGACCATCTTTAAAAACATCTTTAAAAGACATTTGTTTAGCCAGGTGCAGTGGCTCACACCTGTAAGCCCAGTTCTTTGGGAGACCAAGGTGGGAGCATCACTTGGGGCCAGAAGCTTGAGACCATCTTGGACAACGTAGTGAGACCCCATCTCTACAAAAATGTGGACCATGCATGGTAGCTCATGCCTGTAATCCCAGCACTTTGGGAGGCTGAAGCAGGCAGATC